ACCATTAATGACAATTCAATCAAGCATTAATTATTCTTACAAAGGTGACCCAGGGTAATTTGGACATTTCAAGTCAAAAAAGTGCCATTTTTGAACAAATTGAGTGCACCTACAAATTTTTTGTATATTTTCAAATTTAGTGATATTTGTGAAAATCTCCCTTGTATTTATTGTATAGTGCCCATTAGATTAGTATCATTGACCAAGTCTAAATGGACCCACACTATCACTTAATAGTGCGCAGAAAAAAGTCAAATGCATTTATATTATGTTTTGTTAAAAAACTTTTTCTTAAAGTGCATGATCGCTTGGATACTAAAATTTACTCACAATAGTCTGAATAAATATTACATTTATTTCTAATAATGATCTTTAGCGCCAAAACATTAGTAAGTTAACATTATATGGTAAGTTCAATTAAATGATAAACTGTAATTGACTAATTGTTTTTGTTAGAATTTGAGTGTGACTCGAATTTCTTATTAAATTAATTTAAGAATACTAATTGAAGTGTACGTCAAAAAAAATTCAATTTGAAATGCTATTGGAATCATATGTCAAGTTGAAGTTCTATTTTGGAAGTCTATTGGGAGTTGAAATTTGTTTTGAACTCGATTTTTTGATATCATATTTCATCAACAACTCTATTAGGAGAGTTTTGACATTTCCTATATGTTCCCTATAAATATTAGGTTCTTCTATACGATTTTATATTGTAAGAAAAGAGATTATTTTGAAATTTAAAATCAATTGTATATTTCTCTATTATTATTGGTGTAATAATATCTCATAATTCCTTTGCCATATTTTCTTATCTTCTTTTGCTTGTGATGAAATATTTCATTATTGTGTCATATTATATCATTATCTCAATTCGGTGTTTGGTTTCATATCAATTGGTTTCGAGTAATACGTGATTCTTGAATTCCTAACAAGTGGTATAAGAGTTTTTGGCATAATTAACACAACAAGTGATATCAGAGCGTCAGGTTCAGCAGTTCCGCAATAGCGTAGGGTTTGAATTGTTCGAGTTTTTTGTTCGTGACGGCTTCTATGATATGACATTCCACTTTTGGATTAAAGCGCTAGATTTTTGTTATGGCGAGTTAAGATACGTGCAGTACTCACACAACAGAATTTGAATGATGCATTGCTGGGAATTAACAAGATGCCCGCAATTTTGATCGCGGAGGAAAAATTACGGAATGATGAGAATCCAGTCCTCTTCATCCATCGAATACCATTTTTCAGGACGTTTTGAAAGAGGGTTCAGTAGCTACTTTATGGTTGAAGTTGGAGCAATTGTGCATGATTAAAAGTTTGACAAGTAAGTTGCATCTCAAGCAACGTTTATACTCTCATCGAATGGTAGAATGAGGATCATTGCAAGATTATCTGGCTATATTTAAAGAGATCGTCGTTGATTTGGAAACTTTGAAAGTGAAGTATGATGAAGAAGATTTGGCATTGATCATATTGTGTCTGTTGCCCGCTTCGTTTTCTTCATTTAGAGACACGATCTTGTATAGTCATGATACTCTCAACATAGATGAGGTGTATGATGCTTTGTTTTCAAAAGAGAAGATGAAGCATCTGGTTTTAGAAGTCATAGATGAAGAAGATCTTGTTGCTCATGGTGGTTCTAGAAGTGGCATATCGAAGTTTAAGTTCAGTAATCAGATTTGTAACTTCTGTAAGAAGAAGGGGCACATGAAAAAAGATTGCTACAAATTGCAGAATATAGAAATGTTGGCTACAAGTTGATATGTGAAGCAATTAGAGACTTCAGGTGAAACAGACATTGTAGAGAACATTGTAAGCGAGGGAGATCTCTGGCTATTTCTAACATCGTGTCTAAACCAGAGGATGATTGGATTCTAGATTTAGCGTGTGTGTTTTATATATGTCCTAATAAGGACTTGTTTACTACATATGAAACTGTTTCTAAATGTGTCGTGATTATAGGAGAAAACACACCTTGTAGGGTAGCTAAAATTGGCACGGTCAGATTGAATTTATTGGATGGGACAATTAGAAAACTTAGCCATATTCGACATGTTTTAAGAAAAATCTAATCCCGTTATCTATCCTTAATTCAAATGATTATGAGTTCTTTGGTGGTTGTGGAGTTTTGAAGTTTTGTAAGGGTGCCCAAATTGTATTGGAGGGACAAAAAAAGTCTCAATTATACATTTTGCAGGGTCATGCAGAATCTAAAAGAGTTAATCAGCACATGTTCAGTACTGTGGTGGACATTCAGTTTGGTACAATACCTTGAGGAGCTCGTAAATTGTCGAATTTGAAGAATACTATTAAATTGAGTTCAGAAAATATAGATAATACCGCTTTACTACCATCACTTGCGGTGCCATTGTATTCTATTGCTAGGGAGGGACTCAATGGAAAAAGGCATGTGGATTCTGATTTTGTTGAGCATGTTTTTAGTGTAGTAAAATGTGTACGATCTAGCAATGGATCTTCTTTAAAAGTATTTGAGTTTGATTTTACTTTGGGGTGTGTTACAACCCAATTTGGTAAATTTTTAATTATTATGATTTTTTGAGAATTTGAGGTAATTATATAGAGTAGTGTTTGGATTAATTGGAAGAGGTGGAGTATTTTGTATTTGGTTGGAGAAATCAATTTTGGTTATTGTTAAAGAGTCAGTTCATTCATTACAAATGAATTTTCTTCTTCAGGTGGAGAAAATTTTGGAGCTTTGTTCGTTGCAGTGAAATTTGTATCAAGGTGGAGATTGTTAGAATTTGGACGTGACCCGAATTCCTTATTTAAGTAATTGAAGTATACGTCAAGAAAAATTCAGTTTGATGTGCTATTGGAGTCCTATGTCAAGTTGAAGTTCTATTTTGGAAGCTCATTGTGAGTTGGAATTTGTTTTGGACTCGATTTTTTGGTATCCTACTTCATCAACAACTCTATTAGGAGGGTTTGGACACCCCCTACATGTTCCCTATAAATATTAGACTATTCTATACAATTTTATATTGTGAGAAAAGAGATTACTTGAATTTTAGGATTAATTGTATATTTTTCTATTATTATTGATACAATAAAATCTCCTAATTCTTTTACCATATTTTCTTGTCTTTTTTTATTCTTTTACTTGTGATCAAATACTTTATTATTGTGCCATATAACTTCAAGATCTTAATCTAGTGATTGGTTTCATATCAAGTGGTATCGAACGATACATGATTCTTGAATTTTTAACAATTGGTATCAGAGATTTTGGACATAATTAACATAACAAATAGTATCAGAGCTTCGGAGCATAATTAACACAACAATATTTATTGTATAGTGCCGACTAGAGTGGTATCATTGACCAAGTCTAAATGAACCCACACTCTCACTTAGTAGTGCTCCGAAAAAGTCAAATGTATTTATATTACGTTTTGTTCTTGTTAATTATATAGAATTATTTTCATATTGTAAATACAGAATTGTTTTCGTGTTACCATGCCCCCCGTTTGGGCCACCTTTTTATCTCATTAAAATGAAAAATATGTCCGTTATCAATCACATCAACATTTAAATTCAATTTTTCCATCTCTATATTTTTTATTCTCATTCTGTAAAATGGTGGCTCAAACGGTTATATTTTTTCAATTTC